AGAATACTGCAGGGAGTAATCATACCATCAGAGCTGTGTACTTTTAAACTCCTCTAAAACAATGAACAAACATTACGCTAACCACCTGTCACATCTTACTTCTCCTGGTGTTATTAGCTACAGTACAGCAGCTCCCTGAGTATTCGAGCCCATACCAAATGAAATCTCCAAAATCACAATGTTGATGGAAAAAAATGATGCTTAAAGGAATATTTTCTTCATTGTTGGTCTGCCAATCAAGCTGGACTCAACTGGAGTCAGCCACATGCTACTTATTCCGCCTCATAGCAACAAAAGTGCCAAAGCTAAAAAAACAAAAACGCTTTGCCTCCAACACACTCTGGATTTTCAGCTGGCAGAAAACACTTTGGTGTACGGAAAAGTCTATATCGCAGCTCTGCACCTATACGCTGAGTGAAACTGCAAGCTTGTTTTTTTCCCCGTGTGTGTCACTGTTGGCGCCGATGACCTGACTGAACCACGCTGTTTTCCAGTCTCTTTTAAACACAGTCCTGCCCTCGTAAAGCAAAATGTGAATTTAGTGAAGATGTGCCATTTAAGAGCCTAAACAACTGCCCCGCAGTCTGCCGCAGTGCTGTGTAATGTAGTGTGATGCAGCCTGGTGGTGAGGGGCCATTTTTCCAACATGGAGACAGACCCAAGTGGAATGGACCATATTGTAGGTTGAAAGTAATGCAGCATTAAGCATAAACACTCAGGAAGTGCATACAGTAGCTTTTTGATAAATGTGTTGACTTACTTTGAGATGTAAGAATAAAACAACCTGGTTCAGCATAAAAAAGTGCCTCACTTTTGATTTCCTTTTGTGGCGAAAGAGCTCCTGCTCATTGGAGACTGTAAGCTCTGTCTCTTTAGTCTTTACTTCAGATACAGTAGAAGAACTTAATGTTCTGCTTTGTTGAAGGAGGCACCGGCCAAAGTGGCCCAAACAAGTAGTTAATGGTGCACAATTTGCATGTGCAGAACAGTTTTGTGGCACACTCGAAGTCACGAGGTCATTAGGAAAAGGAACATTTTAGTCACGGGTACTGACACCAATCAAGACCAATGAAATTAACTCACTTTAACAGCACTCGAGCCATTTTGTGACACACGAAGCAGTGATATGCCACACAGCTGACCACAGTGTTCAGTCAAATAAGTTAAACTGCCCAACTTGACCTCAAACGACGCCAGTAATAATCATGAATATGATTTGTCTGGGTGCCAATCACTTGAATATGAGTGCAATTTTCCCGCACTTTGACCTGGCAGGCCTGCGCACATTCCCTTTAATTCTTGACAGGGAAATTGCACTGCTTTGCTTGATTATTACCACTCCTCCTACCTCACTTTTTCCTCCATGTAGGCTAAGTCAGGTTCAGGAGCAGTAATCACAATACCATTAAAAAAACATACCTGTATGTACCGAGGGCTTTGCAGAAGGGAGGGGGGGGGGGGGAGTCTAAGCTCTATGTGGCGTCAAAAAGTTTGTTTACCTTCTGGGTTGCTATAGTGAGGCGGTGTGAGCTTTGTTTTCCAGTTAAAGGGCTCTGACAGGCACTGACTAGTGTAGTGCAGCTGCTATAATGAGCAGTTCCAGGTCTCGCTCTGATGTACATGCTTTTTGAAAGTGCTGTTATCCCGAGGTGTGACATCTTTGAATCCCCAGTAATCAACAGATGTATTTGTGTGAAGCCTCAGGCCTTTGACTCTACTCTACCTCGATCCTTTCGACCATCTCTTTTTGTACTTGTGAGATGCAGCTGATTATTCCTGGTTTAAAAACAGCATACTGCCTGTGGGCTCTCTGCCTGCCTCTCCCACTTTCTCTCTCCCTCTCTTTCATTCATTTCTCGTCCTCCCCCTCCTCTTCTTTCTCCTGCAAACTGAAGGCAACCTCAGTGCCAATTTCATGGGAGGGTAGCAAGCAGCGCTGCAGAAATTATCCACTGCAAAATTGATCTAAACAATCGCAAAGTGGAACGGCAAGGAAAAGCAGGAGAATGAAATTGGGAGAGTCTGTTACCTTTTTGAACTTGCTTTATCACTGAGAAAGGGTTGGACTGCATTGCTTACAGGGAATGTCAATGGCTGAACTCACAATACTGTTTTTCTTAGGATTGTACAGTCTTCATACTGTACTGGAATAGTGCAGAATTTTAAACCTACCTTTTTCAAGGAAAACTGAGGTATGATTACATCAAATTGCACAGGATTATGTGTTTCTGAAACTACACACACCAAATTATGTTAATGACCAGTTTACACAAAAGAGCTTGTTTTTTGTGAGCAGTAAACTGAACAGGCGTCATTGTCTTTTTATCTCTGAGCAGCTGAAATATACACTGATCAGGCATAACTTTTTGTGCTGGTCCCCCTTTTGTCACCAAAACAGCCCTGATCCATCGAGGCATGGACTCCAATGCAACCCTAAAAGTGTATTGTGGAATCTAATTTTTAAGTTATGGAAGTGGACTTAAAGTATCATCCCACAGATGCTTGACTGGTTTGAGATCTGGGGAATTTGTAGGCCAAGCCAACACCTCAGACTCGTTGTGCTTTCCTGAACCATTTTTGCTTCGAGGCAGGGTGCATTATCCTGCTGAAAGACGCCACAGCCATCAGAGAATACCGTTTCCATTAAAGTGTGTGCACGGTTTGCAGCAATACTTAGGTAGGTGGTGCGTGTCAAAGTAACATCAACATGGTTGGCAGGACCCAAGGTTTTCCAGCAGAACATTGCCCAAAGCATCACACCTCTGCTGAGTTGCCATCTTCCCATAGTCTGGCATCTTGGTGCCAGGTGTTCCCCAGGTAATTTGTCAAGCCAGGAAAACTTCCTCTGTTGCTCATGTCCAGTTCTCACATGTCCATTCTTGGCATTGTTCCGCAGGGGACGGGGTCAGCAACCCGATATCCCACCCACTAACAGGTGGCATCATGAAGAGATAATCAGTGTTATTCACTTCACCTGTCAGTGATCGTAATGTTATGCCTTCTCAGTGTATAAATAAGCAATAAACAGAGTAAATATTGGACTTATTCACATGGCCCAGTGAATAATGCTGCTAAGTATCTGTTAGTTGCATAAATAAACAGCTGTTTACCTAAGACCTCAAATGTGCTAACCTAAAATGTGATAATATGTCAACAATGACTTTAGAACTTGTTTTGCTTCCAAGAAAATGTTATAAATATATTGAAAACTGTGGCTACTGCCACAGATAGATACAAATAAAAAAAGCACATTCAACGATATTTAAATACATTTTTTTAATGCATTCAGTTTTTAAGCCAAATACTTATTTTCAGGTATTCTACTTTCAAGAGTAAAAGTTTAATTTTACCCTAGACTTTTCCTTTCGTCTTTACTGGTCTATTTTTTCTATAACTGCCCCCCCCACACACACACACACACACACACACACACACACACACACACAGTCATGCACCCTCCTCTCCCGTTCAGCCTTTCTTTTTTCCTCCCCTGCCCTCCTTCCTTCTCCTCATCACTGAAGGTGTCAGGACTCTAACGCTGCAGTGCCATCTGGGCCGAGGCTGATAAAAGCTCATGTGCCGGTCCGGCGATGCCTGCAGGTCTGCCAGAAGCCAGCGAAGCCTGACTTTCAGAGGCGATGGGAGAGATTTGTGGCAGAAAGGAAGGAATGGCAAGCCGTGAACGTGCTGATCCAGCGCCCCCCACCCCCACTTGCCCTCCTCCCCCATTCCTCTGCACCACCTCTGTCTATCTGTCAGTCAGTCACATGGCCCTGCACTGGCCTGAATCCTTACTTAGGAAAAGGCTCCTTTTTTGTTCAAGGAAAACCAACATGAGACAGGATGGCTTTTTGATCTCTCTTGTGGCTATTGGGAATTCTGTTTGGGTGACCTCTCTTTTGTGCCATATTATCCCAAACAGAGTGAGTTAGAATATGAATCTTCCACTTTACTGTTAATTTTATATAAGATCATGCTGTTGCTTTTTAGCACTTTTAAAACCAGATTCTGGATACAGCAGATTTCTTCCTTGCTGTCTGGACTGCTAACCTGCAAACTCCATTTCTATAAAAACACTGACAGATGTAGCTGCTTGTTTTGAAAATAGAGATAACTCCTAGAGTTAACCAAAATGAGTAGCAGTATACTGTATTTAAATATACTTGCTAGCTAGGTAGATTTTAAAGTTTTTAGCCGCTACATATTTACAAGTAATATCATCATGCTAGACAGCATAGGGTGAAACATCTGAATTGGCCATATCATTGCTGTTACTGGTTTATCAGTAAATAAGAGGGCATGTACGGGAAGCACACCTACTCTGTTTTGTTCTCTGTCAACATGATGACTTGCACAACAAGCTAATGTTGTTGCAGTGACCCAATGATAGCTTAACATCAATGCAAATGAGTAGGAAACAGGAATGATGAGACTGAAATGTCTTTTTCAGTTTGCAGCTTGTTAACCAGGGAAGATGCCGTGCTTTATGCCCTTTTTACAGTGCAGATTTCTAAAGGGTGGGTATGTAAAGATTAAAACTTTGTTGTAAAATAGTTTCTGTAGTGACTAGTCTTCCTTGATTTCGTCTGTAGGAGCCTTGTAGGCTCTGTGGATGTGGATGTGTCCTTTGTGATTGGTTTTCTTTGCTGGCAAATTGCCACAGAGGAACTCTCTTATTTATTCTCGTCATTTGTCATCTTTCAGGGCAAATAGGATTTATTTTACTATTCTTTTTTTGCTTTTTTAATTGATAATCATTGGGCGATTAAAGGAAACCATGCAGGGCACTCTTTTGCTTTGTCAGATCAAAGCAGAGATGTGCATGTTCGACCGTTTTTTCTTAATAATGATAAAATGCCTCCTACGGATCGAAAGGTGAGAAAGGACATGCTGTTGATATTAAGGGTTACTATTAAGCTTATTGATTGAGGAATCAATGTAGTCAATGGAACGTATGACAACCGCAATAATGTGAGCATTTGTCTGTATTTGTTCAACAGGCCTGGACCTGAGACACGCCCAGGTGGTGGCGTTATCTACTGGCACCAAGTGCATCAACGGAGAGTATCTGAGTGATCAGGGACAAGTAGTCAATGACTGTCACGCTGAAGTCACAGCCCGACGAGCCTTGCTACGCTTCCTCTACTCCCAACTTGAACTCTTCGTGAGGTAAAAGCTTTATCTTCTGCTGTATCTTTAAAGCACACAGACATTTCCTGAGCACCGTATGTGCACATGCTACAGCTTTGAAATCTTTCAGCACCTGACACGGCCAGATAACACTTGCTGTCACAAGTTAGTTGGTTAACTTTAGCTTTTTTGCTGATCATTACACCGACTTAGAGAAAACTTCTGTTTCATCTTGAAAGTTGAATTTTTACCTTTGTAGGAGTTTGACCCACTGATTGCTGAATGTAAAATGACAATCAGCCTGTGAAATCATCTCTCTAGATCCAGGTGATTAAACCGAACGGTTCGAGCGAGACTTGAATTATTCAAAGTTTCATCATAAATCAAAGTCGATGTTAGTGTGCTTTTAAATGCAGCTGCAGAGCTGAGTTCATGGAGGCTGCAGCGCATTTAACACAGTGGTGCAATAAGTACACTTTAACTATTTGGATGAACATAAAAAAAATCATGGAAAGAATTTCCACGTGATTAAATTGCTTTATTTTAGCATTATGTAATTCCGATATTCCAACTTAACTGAGTTGGATCAGCTAAATTAATTAATGATGAATAAACGTATTTAATGCAGTGGAGTCCAACTTAATTTAATTTAATTGATTCAACCCATGCAAAATACATTAGTCCAACAAAGGTATTTGATGCAATAAATCCAATTTAATGGATTTGGGACACAGCTCTCACTCCATCCACCCTTTTCCACTTGTCCTTATCAGGGTCGCGGGGGTGCAGGAGGTGGGGCACAACCTGGACTGGTCACCAGTCTATTGCAGGGAGAAAGTATATAGTACAACTATTAACACTCACATCTATGGGCAATTTAGAATCATTAACCTAACCTCACTAACTGCATGTACCCAGAGAGACACGAATACAGGGATAACATGCAAACTCCACCCAGAAGGCCGTGGCCAGTTTGTGGATTTGAACTCAGGACTAGGTGGTGCTAACCACCACACCACCAAGCTGTCACTCCATACGTAAAAAAACAGTAGGAAAGCTATGATTACAGGGTTTTATACAGAATTTTCTTCATGTTTTGGTCCAATAAAGAGCAATAGCATGCACCTGGTGTGTGTATGTTTGATTCTCCTGTGGTTTGAAATGTCACATGATCTCACGAGTCCAGGCACCTAACAACTCCTACTAGATTGCATCACATGATCTCACTAGAATAAATTTAACTAGTGTTAAGATGTTAAATGTCATGCAGAGTGTACATAATTTAATTACATTCACCATAGAAACATAAAATTATTTTGAAAGCAGAATAAATGTAAATGTAGCAACTGTCCAATTTCACTTTCTTGAGTGTACTCGAGTGAAAAGTAGAAATGCAAAAAAGACAAACAAGTGTTCAAAATTCCTTCTTCTGAGACTCCTGGTTACACAATTTCACCGAATGGGAAACTTTGAGTCAAGAACCACAGTAACTATTTCACAACTTCTTTTCCACACCTAGTTTCACAGTTATTGAAACCTCCTTGGAACTCAACACCCAGAGCTTTACAAGTGTTTTTACATCTTTGCCCCAGTTTATGCCTTGATAACTTCATACTGGGCATTTACAGAGGTTTCAGGACTTTTTATTTTTCCTGCCATGCAGTCTGAATGCAGGAACAGCATATATAAGGGTTTCTAAAATGTATCCAAGCCTTTCGAGACTCATCTAGAGGATAATATTGAGTGGCACAACAAAGGGTCTGAATGTCTAAAATCACTTTGTAATTGTGGGATTTTAGACAAAGACTGATTTACAGGTTTTATCCATTTAAAACTGCATCTACAACAAACCAAAATAAAACAAAGCCTGAATTCTTTATGAAGAATTTATATGTTTCATTGAGTATAAAGTAGTAGCAACGTCTCTGCAAAGTGCACGAGGAAATATCTTACATTCTCGCAGTGACTTCACTTTAATCGCTAATTTAAACTCTTGCCAGCATGCTGCGTAGGCTTCACAAACTTGAGTTTCCAAGGCTCCTCTAACAGCTATAACAATGCATTACATTGCATTACTCATTACAGTATGCTTAACAGCATTACATGTTTTTGTTATGACCTCCCCCTGCAGTGCCAAAGCATGCTCTCTCCTCTGCAATAAGCTCCATGGAAACAGCACCGCTTTGTTCGCAAGAGACTTTTCAATAATCAACGAGCCATATGTGCGCTGTTCTCTTCAGCTAACTAAGCATACTATCACACACTCAACCGGTTCAGCTCCGTGTCTCAGTGGCCTGTTTGTTTTTGGTGCTGTTTTATCTACTTTGTGGGCATTTGCTACCTGTACAGCGCGTGCTGGTGCACACAAACTCACCAAGCTTTTCACCAGTATCACGAGACAGCCCTGATGAGTTTTGACTCCTAACTGCCTCCAGTGCATGAGCATATATTATGTTTTTGTGCTCCCCCAGGAGCTCGATTGCAAGGCTGATGTATCAGATTAGTGGATAGAAGTCTAGATGGCTGAATGTCATATTTGCATACACAGCACTGACTTTTTGTCTTAGCACAATGCTGGATGGCAGGTAGGGAGACTTTGCAGCTGAGCAAAATGGCTAATGGGGAAGATAACTCATAATGAAACGACCAAACAAAATGCCAGAACTGCCATATTTACACTCAGTGAAAGGACATCAGAAACAGAGGAGAGGTTATATAAAGAGTGCGGTCGTGCTTTGCATTATGAGGGATAGTTTTTATATAGTACTGTATGTGAGTGATGACAGCTTTATTCCTACACACAAGAAAAAAAAATAGATGATCATTTCCTGTTTATAAGCATTTACCTGACTAACAGAAGGTGTTTTATAAACATAAACTGTCCTAAAACAATATTGGAACCTGCTGTTTTATCACTAATCTGTTTTCATTTAGAAAATGCTGCCATCTTTTCTTATGGATCAAGTATTTTAGAAATACTAGATTATTTCTATTTGATGCTACTTTATACTTGCTAGCCAGATGCTGATAATCAACTCTACTCGATTAGTTCATCATCAGCTACTGTCAAGCACGGCGGTGGAGGGGTAATGATTTGTGTTTATTTTAGCAATGGGACTTGGGCACCTTGCAGTCATTAAGATCAGCGGTGCCCAACCAGTTTAATGTCGGACAATATTTTCACAGAACGGCCTTTAAGGTGTCACGGATAAACACAACAAAATAAAATGATACCACCAAGACAAAAATGTGATATTTTGCAAATATAATAATAAACGTGAATTCAGTGTGTAATTGTGTAACTTTATTAGCAGCGTCCTCCTGAAATGCGCCAAAAACATTGAGAGGAACATCCTCTTCTCTGCCCCTTAATGCTCTCTGGTCGCTATGGTAACGTGTAAATATTTCTTTGGAAATACAGTCATGTGAGAAAATTAGGACACCCTATGAAAGCCTGTAAATTTTAAAATACATTTGGACATATGGATATTTAATATACATTTTAATGATACTGAGGCATCCAAATAATATAACTAAACAATTAAAAAAATAAGAAAAGCCTTTTTAAGACTTTATGTGAAATGTAATTTAAAAAGAATGTGATTTCTGGTGAGGAATGAATTAGGAAACCCCCACATGTTATCGCATTTAAAATGGTTAAAATCACACACAGGTGTATCACGTCAGGTGCACATGATCAGTACATTGTTACCCAGCATTTTAAGGGAGCCTTGCCTTATTTAAACCTCAGATTTAGTTTAGTGTGCTCCTGACTGTTGTTTTTTCTTTTTTT